AACGATCCTCCATAAGGACCATAGCTCTCCCTTACCTTGGACGTCCGGAGGGCATGATATCAGCAGTATTCACCACATGAGCGGCTTCTTGCGCCGATACTAAGGCATAATAGACCCCATGAGGACGACGACCTGAGATACTCAAGCTGATGATGATGATGAGGAGGAGGAGGAGGAGGAGGGGTAGATTGATGAACAAGAAACTCACTTATAAGGTCTACATGCTTGCCAGCTTCAACCAGTACTCCACTCTGCATAACAAATATTATATCAGAATTACGAACAGTAGATAGCCGATGAGCAATCGAGATAGTAGTAAGCCGAGTCGTTCTTTGGAGGCTGAATGATGATGATGATGAATAGAGTAGTGCAGATAGAATAGATAGGAGGTAATACTTGTCTATAGTAGATTGGACCATCTTTTCACTCTCGTTATCAAGGGCTGACGTTGCTTCATCAAGTAAGAGTATCTGTAATAATACCGATACTGACAAGAAGAAGAAGAACCTAGTCATTATTACTACCTGAGGATTCCTCAACAATGCTCGAGCAATGGCAACCCTTTGCTTCTGACCACCAGAGATTTGCCCACCTCCTCCACTAGATGTACCACAATAAGTATCATATCCATTTGGTAGAGAGGATATGAATGTATGCACCTAAAACCGAACGATCTCAGAAGACGAGGTTCAAACCGAGACACCTACATTAGCTCTCTGACAGGCTTCCTTTATTTGATTCTCTGAAGGAGTATAACCAAGACCATAGGTAAGATTATTTCTTATAGAAGTTGCGAAGAGTACGGGCTCTTGGCCAACGTATCTGGGAATAGCAGCAGCAAAATACGATTATTCATAACAGTAACAACAAGTATGACCCGAAGAAGGACCGTATGGCTATAGGTTCTCCTCCTACTCCATATTCACGGTAGTCTATACCATTAATCTCTACTCTACCACTTACAGGATCGTAAAACCGCTCTAGAAGGGCCATAACAGTGCCTATAAGAGCGTAAGATGAGTGAAGAAGAGTGGTACATAATAATCATGGTAGTAGAAGTAGTACTCTTCCCTGAGCCACTTTCCCCTACAAATGCGACCTTCATTCCAGTAGTAATATGAAAAGAAACGTTGGTAAGAACCTATATAATGGGAGATGATGCTGGAGGAGATGCTGGAGGAGATGTGTATGCCAATTGTGAACTACCTGGACCTCAGGACGAGTAGGGTATGTAAAGCATACATCATGAAAAGCCAATGTACTGAACACCCCTGTAGTTGTTGACAGCTTCGATGATGATGACGATGCTACTAGAGTAGCGCTGTTGCTGCTGTTGCTGGTGGTAGGAGTAATAGGTGATTCGATGAGAGGTTTCTCCTCATCTATAACTCTATAAATCTCGCTAGCTGAGGCCTTACCAATCTGGAAGGTCTGTATTGGTGGCATGGCTTGGCCTACACCAAAGGTTGCTGAGAAAAGGAGAAGAAGATACTTGAAGCTGGGAACAAGTACACTTATACCCATCAACACCGAGAAGAATACAGATAGTATATCTCCCCCTGTATAAGGTAATCCTGTAAAGGTATTAATAGTACCATTGCGGACTAGTGTACCACCATACCTGATAACAAGAAGGAAGAGGAAGAGGAGGAGGAGGATAGAGCTTATTAGTCAATGAGAACAGGAATGATGATGATGATGATGTTGTTGTTTACCATATTGTAAGAGCATATGTAGCATAAGTAGAACCCATAATAAGGCCAAGGGATATACCCGTGTAAAGGCCAGATCTAGTCCCACCTAGTATATCAAAGTAGAGTATGATGATCATGGAGGATAAGCCTGCCATACCTTTCCTAGCATCCTCGAGAGCACTGCTATACCTCTCGATTTCCCTTTGCTGTCCACCAAATGCTGTTACCGTTCGTATGGAGCTAAGTGCCTATAGTCGTCGATGATAAGTCCTGCATGCTAATACAAGTATATTACCTCTTCTGCATACGCCCCAGCCTTGGCATAGGATGATTGAGATATCTTAGATGCTCTAGAGAGTACAATACCCAAAATAGAGGTTGATATTATAATAATAGGCATGGCAGCTAACATAACGAGGCATACCTATAGTAAGGACGGATGTAAGGGTTTGCTGCTGCCATCATCCTCATACTACTCCTTACTTGCCAACCTCTTAGGAAACCAACAGTCAGACCAGCAACACCCATCGAGGCATTCATAATAAAGAGGCCTACTCTAAACCCCAATGCTCGCTGTACCTAATAATACAATATAGGTAATATGCTGCCTACAGGTCATACATAACCACCACCACCTTAGCAACATCCTCCGTCATTCTAGTAGGTAGTTCGGCTGGACTTATTGCATCGAACCATGCAATGTCTTGACAGAGGACTAAAGCGGTGTAATATGCTGCTGCTGTTACTGATGATTATGGACAGCATTACCAGCTTCAAAGTAGCGTATCTTCAACCTAGTAGCTTGAAAGGATGCAGTAGCAGTAAATATACTATGCCAAGACCATGATAATGCCCATGACCCAATACCAATATAAACCTGATATAATAATATTATGAACGATAAAGCAAGAGAAGGCTTACCATATAGAGGCATCTTTTAGATACCGAGGCAACTACATCATCACCACCTTCACCAAGATCATCTACATAACAACACATGAACAAAAACTATAGATGAGGACGTACTCAGAGCATCACCAAAGACGTAAGCAAATAAAGGGAAAGCAACCCCATGGATGACAGCACTTGATACTGCGATAACTGAGAGAGTATAATGATGATGATGATGACAAGGAACTCTATTGAGGAATAGACTTATTACCTACTGCTCCTAATTCATAGTTGGTAGCAAAACGGTAAAGGTGGAGATAGCTGACCATCGACCACAACAACGACGGTGAACAAAAAATTAAACTGTGATAGGGTGAAGGTATACTACTCGGACTTCCTGATTGGGCCGCATAATAAGGACTCACATGTACACTGAATAACCCACTAGCCTTATTGTGCGCTGGTCGTAAACCACTTAAGGAGGATAGGGTGATAGAGGAGGAGTAGGAGGATGGTCTCTAGGAGGTAATCATATCCCAGAAACATCATTTACTCCACTCAACACGGTAGAGGTTATTAATAGCAATGGATGTGTAGGAAAGGTACTATTCTGATAGTAGTAGTAGTAGGTGACCTTAGGGAGTTGAGGGTATATTCGTACTAGATATGGTAAACCATAATGTTATATGATGATGAGGTATTACGATGACGACGTAGTGTCGTCATCGATTATTACTAGTATTGCTAGAGTGGGGCTAGGGATCCTTTGATGTTAGCAGCATCACTCCTACACCGTAATAATACTATGTGTGAATCTAAACTACAGAGTTTAGACAATACGTAATGTCCCGAGTGACCTGCACGCATACACATATGGACATATTATCATCAGGCTACCAACATGTAGTGTATGATAATGCTTTGACAGAGCGTATGATGATCATCACTGGACTTATCTAACACTTGTTGATGGCTCATCACCCGCTCAGGCCTCCATGATATAACCTTATTGACAGTTGGTGGGATGTAGGATTTATACTCAGTATCAAGAGTGTTCTCCCCAGGTTCCAGCAATGATCCTTCCTTCTCCCTACCAACTATGTCATCCTTTACCGAGGCTCACCACCACCACCACCACCACCACCACCAAGATCACCACTGTTATCAACACGAGGCTGGAAGGGTAGTAGAACCTTCGTTTTATTCTATCAATACCTTATGGTGATAGTAGGAAAAGTAATGGTGAAGAGCTACACTATCGTTGGTAGTAGTTGTAGTAGTAAAGCAAGACACTAAGGCAGCTGTTGTTGTTGTTGGCTAGTATGTAGATGGATGCTAAACAGTATTACAGCCAAATATCCTACTACAGGGATAGTCAACAACGATACGATCTACTGCCTGATCAAGGCAAAAATCAAACGACGAAAGTGATAGTAGTAGTGGTATCTATAGCAATAGTAGTATGTTGTTGGTTACATGCCATTATCACCGACGACCAAACTTCTTCAATTCTTCCAATACTTCTGTATGACGATTGCATATACCACTACGAGAGATCTTTTGAGTAGCAGTCATACACTTATTATCAGAAGTCCACGGATCACACATAAGAGTAACGGCAACTATCTTCTCTAATGGTGATAGGTTACTCTTCTTATGAATATCTGTCATATCTCTGAGAACCTCTTTATTAGCTGCAGAGTTAGATAATAAATCATCAGCATCCTTATATTCGATACCATTATCGGTAGCCCACTTCTCAAGACGTTTAATATTAACTTGAACAAGGGCAACAGGACGATCCATAGTACAATCACCAAATACCATAACTCCACCAGCAAGAGCATTAACATATTCCGAGCCACCATAGATACTTTCCATATTCTCTAAGGCAATATACTCACCACCCTTCAGTTTAACTAGGTTCTTAACACGATCAATGATACGTAGAGTTCCATCAGGTAACCATTCACCAACATCACCAGTCTTAAACCATCCATTAGGAAGATAAGACTTAACTGTTAGTTCAGGTAGCTTATAATAGCACTTACTGGCACTAGGTCCACGAATCATAACCTCACCACGACCTAAGCATGGGGAACCTTCAGCATCCATAGTATCCTTGCTAAGATAAGGTAGACCAGCCTTATCGAGGACCTCAGGTTCACCATCATCATCAATACAAGAACGGAGCATTACCTCAATACCAGGTTCCTGAAATACTCATAATAATAACAGCATATAACGCCCGATTATCAACTTACCGGTGGTCCAACGTTAGAACCCCTAGTATCTTCCATAAGGGATATACATCCACCAGCACAGGTCTCAGTAAGCCCATAACCCTGGATAACAGGGCATGAGAATACACTTAGACAGAATCTCTGAACTTCGGCTGAAAGGGCACCACCTCCTGATAAGACAACTGACACGTTGCCACCAAACGCTGCCTTGATCTTATTGAATAGGATGAGATCGAACAATGGGGTACTACGACCACTAGTCATGGCTTGGTATTTGTAACTGATACAATGATGAAGTGGTGATGAAGATTGTACTGTTAAAACTACTTACTCAAGTGCTGCTGCAGCGATCTCCCTCTTCCATTGTGGTAAGTTGGCAAACTTTGCCTTAGCACCCTTCATAATAACCTCAAAGATCTTAGGTACACCCATAATAAGATGAGGTTTAAACTCTTCCAAAGCACCAGTAGGTCGGGCACCAGCTCTAGTAATAGTATGAGGATCAGCATAACCAATATGACCTCCCATAGAGAGCACACCAACATGAACGGCGAGCTCATATATATGGGCTAATGGTAGATAAGCCAGATGAGTAAAATGCTCGGGGAAGTAGTCAATAACTAGAGGTATAACGGTTGCAATAGTAAAACGTATTGATTTATGAGGCATGACCACACCCTTAGGTCTACCAGTAGTACCACTAGTATACATAACTACAGCAACTGAGTCTTCTATACACTTATTCATAGGATACTTATCAACAATACCATTACCAATCTTAAGAGCATCATAATATTCAATAACAGATATTCCAGAATCCTGAAAACCTGTAAGATTCTCCTTGCAGTCCTTAGGATCTATATTCCAATTGGTATAGATGATATGTTTCAACGTTGGCATATCATCCTTCTTAGCGATAAGCTTACCAACGTTCTTCCTATTACAAAAGATAGTAGTAGCAGAACTCTCTTGAATAGACTGTGCTACAGCATCAGGACCTAGAGTACCATATACTGTTGATATGAACATATCCTGGCTCCATGCACCCATAGCAGTGGTGATCCAAGCATCACAAGTATCCTCAAACATAATGACTGAGCATGCTCCTTGACAATCATCAGTATTACCAGTATGAGGTTGAGCATGATTACCAATACTCCTTAGATATGCACCCATGGCTCTAAGATTGGATCCTAGCTGGGAGAAGGTAGTCCAATTAGTCTTGCCAAACATTTTAACAGGGAACCTCTCACCAACATCCTTATAACCAAGGAACTCTCGTACACCAAGAGCAGGGAAGTCTGGTTGATTCTCTACATTGGAATATACCAAATCAAGACAGGTCTCAGCACCAGGGGCCCAGAAGCATACAGGCTTGAAGTCCTTCTTACCAGTCATTACTCGAATTGGATCACCATTCTAAGAGAGGATACTATAGAGACTAAGGTGTATATGAGTACTACTACTACCTCCTCACCAACAACCTCGGAATTATCCTCATCCTCAGGCTTCTTGAAGTTAAGTCTTCGAATAGGACCTCCTATTATGATCCATACTAGGATGTCCAGAAACTTCAACACCCCAGCAGCAATAGAGACCCCAATAGACATTATAACCTACAGCGATTAGAACAACAACAAATCTAACATCATCGACAGTACTACACATACAAGATCCTCACCAGATACATACTGGCTAAAGACGGCTAGGAATGTAAAAAGCGCGCGCCCGACAAAGCTGTGCAATCTTATCAAGTACATGTTGCAAGAGTCGATTGTAGTAGCCTGATGGTCGCCTCTACTGCTGATTGTACCCTTATAGACGCCTCGAAGGAGCACTTTACTGGTAGTAGCTATATTTTGGATACTGCTGGATAGCTACATGTCCCTCACACCAACATAATATGTGAGACGCAGTTGTTGACGGGGTTCAACAACAGTGTTGATGACTCGGCTTGACCAATTGATTAATTCCGGTCCTACGTCTACAATGTTAATGGGTATTGTCAGTGTAGGGACTATTAATACAACACATCGCTAGTACATGTGAAGTGATCATCATGATGGCAATTTGCTTTTACCAATGAGTTGTGCTTTCTCTCTCTCAACGATAGCGGCTATACGAGGTTCTAGACCCCCATCCAAGGCACGCTCAACTTCGCTGGGAGGAGGACATTTGGTATGGGGAAAAATTTTAGAGAGATAAACCTAAATGGGTGAAAAGCCTCATTTCCTAGTTAATCGATGAATATGATGATGATGACCTCCCAGCCTCCATGAGGCTCTTCAATTGCATCCAAATCATCTGTGCCGAATGATATCGCCTAAATGAGGTGGTCACAGTCATTAGGTCTTATCAACATACCAAGGGTTTGCTGTAGTCACCACAGTTTGATAAGAGTTTAGGCATGAGAGGTATTGTAGCGGTTGAGTTGGTGGATTGGAATAGATTGGCTCGAAGGAATGAAGTGAAGGCTTTGATTCCTCCATCACTCCCACCACGTAGTGAAAGGGATATCAATGATGATTGATGATCATTGCATATACATCTGATACAAGTGATGATGGCTCAATGATGAGTGATGGTGGTAGGGGTATGCTACCTAAGAGCATCAAGAAGCTTTCGGACATGGTCTGGATCCATTATATCAGATAGACGATCATGCTTGGTAGCTGCCACCACTATCCGTGGTACTACAGCCTTGGACGTAATAAGGTGAGCCTATAGGAATGATAAAGCTTATCCAACCACAAGAACTACCCCTTCTCACCCCTCGGAGACCTGACATTAATTCAGAATAGATGCTAGTAGGCTTTGACAAGTCTACCACAACTACCACTACAGCGTTGGTGAGCCATCGTTTGCTGACCTGTCATCATGATCATCATTCACTTGACTGTACTATGATGGATCCTACAGGTTCAAACAACTCCCATGCCGTGTCACCAGATCCAGCATCGAAGAGATGTGCCTGTAACAGAGGAATTCAAGAGAAGACTCTAGACGATATCTATCTCAATGAGACGAGCTCACCACGGTGGCACCACCGTCTTGTACAGTAGAAAGCTGTCGTCGGACGTTGAAGTATCTATGAACGAGAAGGTCTTTGGTTCAAAACCTGGTGAAGGCACTCCATGCCGTTTGGGGTAGGTTCTACATCTGGCAGTACTGTTCGATGGTCGCTTGTACTGAATTTAGAGAACCTGCACTTGATGGCTCAGCGAGAGAGACTACCTCTTTGAGCTGATACCTATGAATCAACGATGTTTTACCACTACCCTTGGAGCCAATAAAGACTGCACCAGTGGTAGTAGGAATGCGAGTGTTGGTGATTACTTTGGAATAGTCCTGAAACCATCTAAAAGATGTTGACAGGTGAGGAGGGAGATGTACTCGTATTAGAGTATCCCATATAAGCTCCTGTTGTTGTTGATCCATGATGCTGTTGTTGAAGACTTTAATAGTAGAATTGACAGAGTTGATAGACACAACATACTAGTAGATAGAGACTTATGATGCTCAAAGAACTGCTCTTGTATTATACCTCAGATACACATCTCACAGAGACGACAAGCCCGTGTGTGTGTGTTAACTCTAAACAATGACGTCTTAAGGAGCTTCGAGTACCTCTACTGAGAGAGGATCTCAGCAATGCTAAGACACCGACGATGATCGTGGCGATAGGAGATAAACTAGTTGCTGATATGAATACAATAGTAGACATAGAGTATGCCACGACAGGAGGGATACTATTAAGCACAGATGACGACCACTGAATGGATTGTAGTATAATGGAGTAGCATATAATGGTAGTAGAACAGCAAACTTTTGCTGTTGGAAGAAAAGATTGATGATAAGTGATGTCCACTTGGTGTAGATAATAGTACCATTAAGAGTGCAATAGCCGCCTCTTGTGGTGTTATTGAGCGTTTAGGATACTACTCAGCATTATCGTAGTGTACTTGTAGTAATGTGCCCATGAGGGAAATCAATAAGGCGATGACGACGACCACCTGAGCATAAAGGTGAGTATAGTAAAAAACAACACAGATATGCATACCATTCGAGAGCACATAACGCCGTCTTCCAAATTATCAACAGCAACAGTAATATGCCATGTAATAGTCTGAGATACTACTTGGACGTAGTAGCAGCAGTAACCTGTTGGGCAGCGGCCTCCTTTTCCTGTGCCTGATTATGACATATAGGACATAGAATTAAGAGTAGAATGATGACCTCAAGAACGAAGCCTACTGGCTGGGCTATAGTCTGAGCTGATGGGAGCACCTTTGGATCAACGACCGTCTTCTCCTCGACTGCTACTGGCTCAGGTGACTTCATGGCGGTAGCCTCAAGCAACTCAGCAGCGGGCATCTGTACGCACTGGGCTGAAGGTAATAACTTGGGATCAGTGTTATCGATGTCTATTCCTGCGTTCTCATATGGGACAGTACTAACAGCAGCAGCAGAAGCCTCTACAGCAGTGGTTTCCCCCTCCTTGCTGATAGTTGCTTCATTAGTCTCTTCTGGCTTTGACGAGAAGCACCCCATTATGATAAGCGAGTCAGGAATAACCGAACTATCATACCATACTCCCGACATTTCGCATCGTCGAGGATAATGATAATGGAGCAGCAGTCACGGCGCGATCTATTGCTGGATGAACAAACGTCGTTAGGCACACTCGTGAGCCCCTCACCGCCGAGCAATAGCTCTATTCCCTAACAATGACAAATTCGGCAACATCACGTATTACTGTTTATATCGTCAGCGACCTGGGTGGGATTGATGCTATACATACACATACCACTATTAGACAACACTTCATCACAACGTTGGGGAATTCTACACTATGAACATCCCCTGACAATCCTTGCTCGGTTGAATAACACCTATCACGTTTGCTATATTTTTTATCGCATACTACTGTCTAGATTCACGAAAGAAATAAAACTCGACAATGTACGGACCTAGCAGTATTGCAAGGCAGACGGTAATTTGGCATTTTTCCACGGAAGTTATGCAATGGCTCTGACTGAATCGATCAGTAAATATCTGAACTGTCAGTAAGATTGCAAGAAAAGTGCATGAACGTCGCATAACGACGGTTTCGGTGAAACCGACTCCGATGGCCTTAGGTGCTCTCGAGACAGCAGTTATGGACTAATTCTGCCTTTGATGGTAGCCTCCACTTGGATAACAGTTCGGGTTCCACCGTGAACAAAAAACAAAAGAATAGCTAAACTCAAAATCGATCATTATCAATATTATTTGGGAGTCAACTTGATAAAAAAAAACACCACTCGCAGAATCCTAATGTGAGCAGTTAGGTGAGTTATTTAGGTGGGAATCCTTAACTGAAGGTAAAATAGCTTGCAAGTCCACCCAAAAAAACAAAGGATTGCGGGTGAAAACAGAGATGGTCACTCCATATACATGCTCTCGTCCTGTCTTAAACAATCTATCTCAACCGTACATGCCACCATCTTTCACAAACCACAAACCACTGATAGCCGGAAACAGCATAATACGTATACATGCAGCGCTTCGCTTCGCCTTCACCAATCGAATGGTTCATCATCACCATAACCCTGTATATGGCCTTTAGTACCGTAACTGTTGATGATAATGAACTATTAAATCATGCAAGAAGGGACGAGCGTCATCGATCAACTACACCGGCTCTCCGAAATCCCAATAATGTGTACGACAGGGATTGACCTACATTCGAGTTCGAGCTCTCTTATCCCGTACAGCGCGATCCTTCTTAGTCTTGGCTCTAAAGAAATGACACTCCTGGGAGTCCAACCTAATACCTAATTACTTCTTCGTCCAATCTCTACGGAAAGGATCAATGCTCTCAAATGCGAGTGTTGTCGCGTTACTAAAACCTGATATAAAGTGAGTCGCGTAGGATATGCCAAGATGGACCTTTGTGGGGCCTTTTCGTGGTCCCTCCTGCCTCCCCATCATATGATACATACGTGAACGCACTCAAGTGGCGTCGGCAGCAATGACTAACATATTTACATCTTCTCAGTAATAGCAGGGCCATGGAGGAAAGCCCCTACGAGGAATCAAACCCGGGCACAACAACATGAACCCCTATAGGGATTTTACCAACGCGGTAGTAGGCAAGTGTACAGGTAAGAATGAACTGACAGATGCAGGAAGGAAACCAAAATGATAAAACCACAAGCACCCGAGCAGCAATAGTGATTGACCATGCGTGATAATGGAGCGACACCTATTCCATTACATCCTTAGGCCTTATCAGGCTGTCTGATTAAAATCTAAACGAGATGCTTGCTACGAAGGGCCTCGAAAAGAGGTACAAGAAACTGCTGCCGTTCCTCATTGTACCTACGTAGTAGATAAATACCATATGCCGGAATCGAACCCACTTGAAAGAATGTCCTCCTGCTGGCAGCTGCATTTTGATACATCTTTTTCCCTCTCCAGAGGCAACTCTATCATATGTATCGGCGAACATGGTGAGGTCTGATACTGGTACCTTACGGAAATCATAATCATCATAATGATCTTCCCATACGCACATAAAAGATGATCTTGTCGGCGGAGTTGATAATTCATGTTAAAAGTACAAGGCATTGAGGCTATCTCAGTTGATAATGATGATGATGACGTACTCACTGTCTTATCATCAACAGCATGAATGAACATCATCAACATGTCCTCCTTTTTCGTCGCAGAGCTCTCAACTATTGACCTCATATTAATTGCTGATATCTTCTGTAATGATTCCTTCCACCATCGATATACCCTTTCCCCATTAGGAGTGGTCTTAACTATATCACAATACCCAACCTCCTCCAATGACTTCATCTGCAACAAACAACCAAGCCTCTCCACAGAGGGAGCATCCTCAATGAGTCATAATGCATATCACCTCACTAGGCGAAAAGCGATCCTCAGGTCGAACAGAGAGATCGAATCGAGCGCTGAGTGATACGACCATTGGCACTTGTGTGACAACATCAAGGGCTCCAGCGTACATATTAACAACTGTACCACCTAAGGGGAGTAATACACATAACCCGTGGGACGTGTACACCTGTTAATGGGCGTAATTATCGATCAACAGGCCAGTAAGTGTCGAGATAAACGGCAAGCGTAGGATTCCCCAAGATGATATATGTGTGGCTACCTTTAGAGTGGCCAAGGACACAGATGGTTTTCAAGCCCTTGCCCTGTTGGAGCATAAGGACAGCAGCATCCACCTCGAGGACCTGTTGAGAGGATACTTACAAGGGTAGGCAATGCTACACATAATCACTATTAGTATGGACACGCTTCATCTACATGAGCCAACTCCCTTTATCCTCGATGAAGCGTAAAACCCTAACGAGCTCACCTCTTGATAATAGTCCGCACCGTCCCACTCCCCAGGGGACTCCCCATTGGCAGAAAAGTCGAATCGAAAGGAACACACACCAAGTTGAGTGACGAAGGCCTCAGCGATTGATGACACCAGGGCTGTTAAGGAGGATTGATATGTTCAGTATGTAGGAGTTCTCACGATGGTCCTTATCGCAGAAGAGGCCATGACAGACTATGACCACTGAGTTGCATGCTCTTGATGGTCTCATTAGAATACCACTAAGTAGATGATCGCCCGACGGAGCCATGAATTGGACCCTCTCCTCTACTATGCTGCTGTCCATCAACAAGGTGCTGGTGGTAAGAAATGAAAACACGGACAGGAGGAAATGCAGTAGTAGAACACAAGAACCCAGCTAGCTGCACTCTAATACGTTCACTTGTATTACACATCAAAGAGTGAGTGGACAGTCGGAAGATAGACTACTCCAAAATATCACTCATGCAACAGAGTAATACAACTTGATAATATTACACGATTACCATAATGTTGACAAGCTCGGGACTTATCACCCATCACGCATACCTATTCCTGAGCAGTTCGACCAAAGATGTCTAACTAGGCTACTCAGCACATGCCTGGGTGGTGTACCGACCACCACCCAACTTGACAATATTCACCTCGTATAGTCTCTATAAGAAGGGCACAGCCTCACTGCTGAGGATCTGCTACGATCACCTTGGCCCATGCAGGTCCAATCCAAGCACATGACGAAATTATCCCTACCATCCCCTCCCACTCCTCGTACGAAAGACACTCGTAGCGGAATTGTAATATACTATGATACTGTCGTCAAGTTGACTATGTCGTAATAGGGAGCATAGCCCAACCGTGATTGGGCTACACATATCCATTCACTCGAATGCAATGTCGAGTTTTGACAGGAAGACACTGTCGATAAGAATCCTATGAGTAACTTACTCGTCCTCAATATAGTGTACTTCTTTGTATAGGACTAGTG